CATGTTAGAGCTGTGACTAGGCTATAAAAAGTGATGTTCAAATCCCACCGTTTGATGCAACTCAACAGTTGGAGGTGAGAGGTGTTGACTCACTGCCTTCCCTCTTATCTTTCACCTTTAAATTAGGGATGGCACAAAAAGCTCTAATGAAGCTTCATGCAAAGTTGAACAAAAAAAACTTGTTTGCTGGATATTTTTGAATGTTATGTTGGTATAATTAAAATCAAACTGAAACGGTACATTTTTTGCAAGGACTTAGATAGTTAATTGTTTTTTACAAAAGAAAACAGCAGAGTTTGATTAATCAGTACTAGTGAAATGTAGTCTGTACCAGTTAATGACAATTCAATGTGTTATATATTAATATTAAACTTATTTTTTGTGAAACCTAAAACTAATTAAGTTATACTTTGGTGATTTTGCTAAGCCATTGTCCTACACGGACATTCCCGCAGAATAGTTCTGTAATAATGAACAACACATTGTTTACATTCAGTTGTTTTCCTTACCAAGTTAAGTATAGCTTTAGACATGTAAAGTTTATTATTATCGGGATCGAGCTCATTTTAGGTTTAAAGTCAGACCAAAAGCATAGTCTATTTTTGATATTTTAGGGTAAAACAAGAAAATCTTGTTAGTCTTTGTCTAAAAACTTCATTCATATACTTAAATACACTTATTTACTCAACACAGCACATATCCTACCATTGTTATACATGATATTGATAATTTTCTGTCTACAATCTCGCTTTTTTACATGAATATAAGATTCCGAGATATCTTACCTCCACACACAGTTTATCTATCTTTCTTGTGTGTCTTCCAGAGATATTTGCATTCCACTAGCCTTCTGAAAACTTGCACCTAATTTTATGTGAATTGTGCTATTCTATGATGACAATAGAATGGTGATAAACCTTTTATTTTGTTTCAAAAGCTTTATTCTCTGGGAATTCTCAAATGACAGTGATTTCTACTTGGTCCTAAGTGAGTGACATTATTCTCACTTGACCTTATTTTTACTGTGGATTTTGGAGGCATGTTAACTATCAGGGTCATTGCAGCTGTTGTTTGACGTGTTGTGGATTACCACATGTTTAACCCTACCGACACGGGTCAAAGGCAATGTCATTGCATTTGTAGACTCGCATTCAAAATTTTATTGAACTACTATTTTATGAATATATATCAGTAAGTTTGGTATCAAGTTGTAGATTATAATTAAAATCTTAGTATTATACATTGGTTAATTTCTTAATTTAAAAAGTAACTATTAAAAAAAAATTTAAATATCAATTTTTTGTGTGTCACATGGTATGTTGGATGCAGCATTGGTTCAAATTAGATGTTTGTGATGTCCAAATACAAAGTCTATAGTTTCTTGTGAAATAGATACTTAAATTACTGATATTGATAATCTAGAATATTAAATAAGAACCTCTTATTTTTTCTATATTCTGAGATATTAATATATTTATTGAATCAACCAAGGTGGCCCCATCCACCTCTTCCATTTTTTAAAAAACTTTATTACATACACTTACTTCACCCAATGACATGTGTATGACCAATCGAAAGCTCAGAATGTCCACCTAGTAGTTTTCCCAGCCTCTGTGAAGTATGTGTGCAGCAAACTCTTTCTTAGATATTAAATTTGATAAATTATAGGGGAATTCTGTGGTATTGATATAGTAATTTATGACTTTTTGTTATTTCGAAATGTATATAAAAAAATATTTTGTTTTACATCTTCCACTTACAAAATTTGATAAGGCTTAGCAACTTATGGCAAGCAGCAAGTAAGTACAAAGTTCATAACTAGAAGAGATAATTATTTTCTATACTTCTTTATTTGCTGTTCTATGTTTTTAGAAAAGTAATTGAAATTTAAGAACTTGTTTATAAATAGTAATAATGTATATACTTATGTATTATAGCCAAAATGTGACAGTGTTTTACAAAATACTGGTCCACTAAAACACAGCCAAGACAGATCACTTTGTAAAGGCCAGTTTTATAATCATGGATATGGTCACAAGAGTGCATATGCGCCACGTCATTGCAATTTCTGTAATGTTAGCCAGGCAAGGCTGAAACATCAATAAAATGAAATTAATATGAATATATAGATGTACAATGTTATGAGATATAAACTGTTTAGAGTAAAAATTTGTTTTTGTGTTATAATTTGTAGTCATTCTAGAACAAAAGAAGCATAATTTATATCTTATTTCCTAATGTTTTTATGGTGGTTATGAGATCAGTCAAATTGACCAAATCTGTACAGAGATATAATAGTTAAAATAACAGATAAAGTATAAAGTTTTTCAAGAAAAATGTTTTATAATTATCTGGAGATTATAAAGATTTCACATGTGAAATTTGAAAATTTTCTTAAAATTAAAAATACTTTGCATGTTGGATAATCAACATTCGAAATGAAAAAATGCATGAGCAAATCATTACTTAAAAAATCTTAAAAGTTTATACAAAAATCTATTTTTTATATGAAAGCGTTGTAATGTTTACTGATAGTTTGCAAGTGCAAGTGCATAGGGAGAGTTATTGCATATGTTGGTGGGAAGCCTTTGTCACATGATGACAAGATTGTACTGCAATTCATGTGAAATTAGGTAGGAGTTGCCTCAATGCTAGTGGCATGCAAATCTCTCTGGCAGACATGTGAGGAATATAGCTAAACTGTGTGTGTGGAGGTGTGTATTTATCAAAAATATGGTAATGGGTTGTTAAGATATTCTAAAAATGTCAAGTGAGTTGTGAGAGCAGATTTTATGCAACTAAACTCTGTACATGGAATTCTCAGCATATATTAATTAAATATCATTTTTGTTGGACTTAATTGGCCAAGAAAAAGAAAAGCAATGGGCTTGTGTATTTTGCATGACCTTATAAACACCATGTTCCCTTGTTGGTATACTTGTTATAATTCTGGAAGAACTTAATATATATCCATGAAATTTTACAAGCTTTCAGTAAACATTAAAAGTCTTTTATAACAAAAAAAATCAGAAATTTTAATTAATTATTTTTACTAAAATTTTATCTGTAATTATATGGAGTCAGAGTGTTGACTGCTCCGAGTGCAAAGTGATTTTCATGTTAAGATTAAAAATACTTTTTTTTTTTCACCTGAAAATTTTCACATGTCATTTACATAATTCCAAAAACCTCCTGAATAAATATCAAACTTTTTTTTTCAGGAAAACTTTATATTTTATGTTATTTTCTATGTTGTAAATCTGTATGATGTCAGTCGATATGACTGACCTCATAACAACTAGGTGATCTGGTGATTTGAAAACTTTTGATCTAAATGTTCTCAAAATGTTGTCTAATCATCAATTCACTGGGCAGGTTGTCTTTCTTAACAACAGTCTGCATCTGTTTCTCATCTGCTGTGTATTTTAAACCAGGGGTAAATGTTTTTCCTGTATTCTCAATCAAGACTTCTAAAATTTTCTTAATTTTTCACGTGTATTATCAGTTGACAACAGTAGCATAAGGATGAAGCTTCAACGTCATAATTCAGTTGTCAGTATAATTAATAAGTTATGAAAATTGGATAAAAATTTTGTGTCATGGAAAAGAAAACAAAAGGGGAAAGGGCAAAAACTGGAAAATGAATGAAAAAGAAAAACAAAGAAAAGATTTAGTTGTTGTTGTTAAGCAGAAAGCTACACAATGGGCTATCTGTGATCTGCCCACCACAGATAACCAAGGAAATGGAGAAGAGAAATGGTAAATAGAAAAACAGTGAAAACAAACTGTATAAATTATTCTCATATCTTTTGAAAACTTATTCAGAAGAATATTTACCCCCTTTTTTCAACAATATATTGTAGTTCATTGTTATATCTTAGATGCAGTGGTCTAATAGTAGTAATTCTGATATGGTGTTACCTCTTATCACTCAAAGCTATCTTGATCTTCTTTCTGCCCCCTAAGTGTTGCTAAAAACATTTAACACTCGGTGCACCGGTCTATATACCCCACAAGTTTCGTGCCATCTTTGAGCATGCATATAGCACGTGACCACCCTCCACCAATGGCATTATGCCACCTGTATTGGTGCAGCTAGTTCCCTCTGATTTTCCTGCTCAATCCTCACTTTCTTTATTACCACAGCATCATTTAGACATGTGTTTTTTAGCATGTGACTACCATTTACAATTGTATTTTGTTGACATTTCAGTATCTTTATGAACAGTTTCCTTTTACTGTGTTTGCATTCAACTGTTTAAAATTTTTATTGTATTGTTACTGAATTATACAGTAACTTAGAATGACTTTGCAATTCAATGTATTGACAGCAGGATTTCCTGTTATGGTAGACATTGCATCTGGTACTACAACCCAGTCATCAGGTTTGACCATATCTGCTGAAGATGTATAGACCTTAGTTCACAGGGAACTATATTCCTATGTTTGGCCAGTTTATTCTATTTTTCAACCTAACACCAATAGGAGGTATTCATAAGTTTAACTCAATGGTGGACCATCACTCATGGTCTATTATGAGTAAAGCAAAAGGGGATTTCTGCCTATCTCTGCCAACCCTTTGATTGCATAAATTAGGGACAATCTGCTTTTCAAAACAGTGAATCGTGGACACCCATTGCACTTTCTCCAATGTGATGTTCTTCTGGACTCCACCACCACATTTACTCCCCACCTTTTTTTTTTCTCCAAGTAGAGCACAGGAGTCTTAACACTTACCAGTTCCCAGTCACTTGGGTTGTACCAAGGAGGCTTCCTCCTGAGTGTAAAGAAGAAATTTACCTTACAATACAACCACACATTTATCCACTCAATAAGAAGGGGGCAATGCTGGGTTCCCTCCTTCCCTTGCCACTCGATGCTTATTCCTAGGTGAACTAAATGTTGATTGGAGCAAGATCCTTGTAATATTGGGTTCATTATGATACCACCCTGTTCCCATGGTTGAGTGTGGTAGAGGCCTCCCTTCTCATTAATTCTGGTTGCAGGAAATTTTCTTCCTGTTCCTACAGCTGATTTTGGGGGACTTTGTCTGTCTTGTAATACCAGCAACACTGTTCCTGTGGTTGAGCAATTGTTCCACATCCTCCTCATTATTCCAAGTGCAGGATGTGTCTTCCTTACATTTATGGTTGAGTGAGTTATGATTTCTGCTCTTAATACTGATTACAGGTATTGCCCTCTTCTTATGGTTGAGTTGAGGCAACAACACATCCCCATAATGCCAGGTTTGGTTTGTTTTACTTCTTGCTCCTACAGTGGTTTTGGCTGAATACTGATTTCCTCTTCATAATTCTGGTTGCTTTACATATGACACTGTTTACGGTTGGGATTGGTGTATATATATGATTCTCAACCTCCTAATGCTGAGGATAGGTTGTGGAAGCATGTCTATCTAGTTGAGGTTGAGTAGACATCTAGCCATGGCTAGATGTTTTTCTCCATTATTATATTTTGGCAAAATGCCCTTGAATTACCGTTTCTCCAGATGTGGGTATCGAGTTTCATCTTTGAGCACACCAGTTATTTCTAGGCTCCTCCATCTTTTCAGTGTAGGATTCTAGCTTTGTGTGATAGTACGTAAGAACATATCAGAAGTTAACATTTTCTTACACTGAAAATGTATTTCCGATAGGTACTTACCTCCTGTCACACACTTCCTACCCTTCCTCCCCACTGCCGGGGTTACTTGTTTTAGTTCTTGCCAATTTTTGAAAGTGAGAATTGAGGAAGAAAATCAAAGGGAACTAGTTACGCCAATGTATTAGTTGCAATACTATTGGAGGACGGTGGTCATATCATATATACATGTTCAAGAGTGGTGTGGAGTATGTAGATTGGTGCACTGAGCATTAAATATTTTTACCAATGCTTAGGGGGCAGGAAGAAGAATTGGTAAGTATTTATTAAAATACATTTTCAGTGTAAGAAAATGTTAGTTAACATACTGAATTCTTTCAGTATGTAATTTTCTTTTGATGTGTTTTGTCTCCAGTTTTAATATCTTAACACAAATATTTAAATATAGAGAAAGAAACATTTTGTCCTAAAAAGTAAAAAGTTATTTTTTGCCAAAGGTGGATCTAAATAAGAATAAAAAATGAGTGTAGTATCATTTTTTGGAAATAATCGTTTTATTTGAAAAAGTATTCAAGATGCAAAAATTAAATTTGGAAACATTATTCTAGCTGCTTCAGGGGCTAGAGTTGTCCACATGGCTTCTCCAAATCATCCCCAAGGAGTTAGAACTGTTGCAAGACCTTTAAGCGGTACAGGGAATATTGGAACAAGACTTTTATCTACGGGTCCTCAAAGAGGAATCCAAGCTGGAGCTTTGGGAAGGACACAGTTGTCTGGTGCCAAACCAAATGTTATTGTTGTACACAAAGCCCAAGTATGGCCTCAAAGTCAAGGTCAGGGTGCTACTATTGTTGTATCTTCTTCACCTGGTGGGAAAATACCTGCAGAGGCTGTGGTAAGTAATTAGCAAAGTTTGTTGTGAAAATATTCTCAGTTTTTTGCATGTTCATGAATATTGTACATGAATGTAATAAGATCAGTGTTCACACATTTGTCACTATCCAGCATTGTCTATACATTCTGTGTGTGTGGAAGGAATAGTAGGTGTGGCCTTAACATTGGATTAGTTGTTTATAGACACTGCTCATGGTATGACCAGTAATGTCATTCTTTTTATTGCATTTACTTTGATTATTTTTAATTGAATTAGTCATTTTACAATTTTATTTATTTAATCTATTTTTTTGCCCATACTATCTGTACCATCCTGCTAGCTCACGATAGTTATGACGGTAATGTGCTGTAGCCATTTATCTTGTATGGTAAGCTACTTTAAAGTTACTCCACTGGAGTAATTTAATAGGCTTTCATTGGTCACTAGATATTGTGAGGGAGGATTATATAAAGTTTTATGTAATACTGGTGTCATTTTTCTAGAGACAAAAAATGTGTGACATTGTTGAAGTAAACTAGTTTCTGTATGTCTTTTAAAGTTATATTCAATCTTGCTTTAAAATTAGTTTCATTAACAGTATTGGTTTAAATGTTAAATAATACAAACATATTATATATATATATACTGTCCATTTATTAATTTGTATATTTTTACTATAATGATTATTTTTACATTGTTGGCTCTGTATATGAATATAGAATTAACCAAAACTTAAGCTGAAAAAACTGTAAGATATTATTTAAAATTATTAATAACATAAGGACAGCCAACTGATAATTCAGTGTATTTGTAATCATTATTTTTTGTTTTGTAACATAGCATACTCTTAGTTAGTGCAGTATATTAAATTCAATACAGTGTTTACTGGATAATTTTTTTTTTATGATATATGCAGGTATTTTGGTATTATCAGAAGTTATTGATAATTTGTGTAATAATGAAACAGTTGTTAGAAACTCCCTTCTTTAATCTTTGACTACATGTCCTTCTAGTCAGATGAAGTTTATAGACACATACATTTAATGTTGATAATAGAATTATGAGACAAATGGTATTAAATATATCAAGTCACTCTTAGTCTTTGCTTTACATTAATATGGAAACCAGTTGTGTTGCAGAATGTAATGAAATGCTTTCTATTTGCAACAGTGGCTTTGTAAATGCCTTTAGAAATTATCACTTGTAAATATATATATATATATATTTTTTTGTAGCAAGAAAAATTGTCACCTTTTTTTTCTGAATTGACTTTACTATATTGATGTGGGTTACAGATGTCCTTAAGTTCAGGAGATTTTCTAATGTTTTACATTATTTCACCATTTTAAACTAAATTAAGTTTTACAAATGAAGTATAAATATCAAATTTTTGGTGTTTTTAGAAATTTCTAGGATTGAATAGGTGAACAGATGGGTACATAAAAACATATGGATGTAAAATACACAAAGTTTATTGCTGGAAAACTTGTAGGTTGCTGTTAGATTTATAAATTTATATTTTCTATTTGTACATGCTGGTTTTGTAAATTGCTGTATTGATAATTTTATTTTGTTTGTTAATTTTTTAGTATTTGCTTAGCATTGACTAAATATAAAATTTAAGTGTTTGTATTTTATATTTCTTCCTTATTTTCTGAGTATTTATAATTATTTTAATGTATATGTGTTCTTATCAGTGGAAACTCAATGTTTTATAGTTACTGGTTTATTGAAACTCATACTTGACATTTTTGCAGCAAGAAGCAGTAACCTACATTCAGAGACAAGAAAGAACAAGGCAGCCCAGCATGATGACAGTTGTTAAAACGCTAACAACTCCGAGAGCTTCTTTAGTATCATCATCCACCTTGGCAGCGGAGGGTGTTACACACAGTTCATCATCCTCTTTGAAAAGTTCAGCTTATGCTTCTACTTCGAGATTGGGTGAATCATCTAAAAGTCAGTCTTTAAATGTGGCTTCTGTTGTGGAAGTTCCTAAAACAAGTACAGTTTCCAATGTATGTTGTGCTTTTAATTTATTGTTAATATTCTTTTTTGTTAATTACTACCATATCTTATGTCATGAAATGAAGATATCCCAATATAAGTACACACACACATATATATAAAGCTTTTGGTCATGCTGTTCAGTTTCAAATATTGGATACATTTAGTTTAAAACTATTTCAGTTTTAATTTAATTTAACTATTTAATCTTTTCAACATTTTTTGTTTTGTACGTTCTTCAGCATAATGGGTACTATACACTGTTTCAATTTTAAATACTGAAAATATTTAATATAATTGATACTTGAAACCTGATGGTGCTTTTACTGTTGAAACCATGGTCATTAACTCTCTCAATACGGGCTTGGTCAATTTGAACAACCAGGTGACCTCTTCGTACTCATTCAAGTTTTTATAGATTTGGTACTACTAACTTTTAATATACTATGTATATCTTCACGAAAATTTGGCAGTCTTTCAGAAAACATTATAACTTTTTCAAATACAAAAAAATCATATTTTTTAGTGAAGTATTTTCAATAAACTAAAAAAAAAGATTTTTCCATGAATATATCAACCATTTGTTTTGAATAGTCCGTGTGCAAAGTGATTTTCATGTTAAGATTAAAAATAGTTTCCTTCAAATCAAAAATCTGTGTAATGTATAAAACCTACTAAATACATTTCAAATGTTTGTTTTCAGTAAAACTTTATTTTCTCTACCCTAACTCTATAACTTTGGTCAATTTGACCAACCTTGTAACCGACAAAAAAAATCTAAATAAATTTAAATTACCCTTTTCTTTATTTTTAGAGTGCCTTCAAATTGTAACATGAAACTACATTCGTTTATCCTAAGTAGCTTTAAACTCATAACAGTATACATTTATTTATAATTAACTTTTATTGTTTCATTACCCTTTGAACCATGTCTAACTACTGTTTGCTCCATTATAAGTTGTAAATCATCTGGGGAATATAGAAGTCACGTTATGCTATTGAATTACATTACCTACAGCTATTCATGTGTGTGTCTCGTGAAACATTTTTATTATTATTATTTATTTTACCTAATCTAACCTCAACTAACCTAAAGAGATCCCTATTTTTACATTATACTTATTTTATAATAATAAATAAAGAATAAACATCAAAAACAAGAAATAAAGTACTTACACAAATCTTTTTTCTTGTTGTCAATTATCAATGACACTTAATTCTTTTTTTATACTAATGGGAGTAATGCACTAAATAAGTTTTATTTAATTAAACAATGCACCAAAAAATATAGACTAATAACATGCAAAAAGTAGACAATTTACCCTAACTATCACGACTTTTCTGGCTTTTTAACTATGTGGCAAGAGCTGTTACAAATTCATCCAAGCTAGTCCTTATCTCTCCCGTGGGAATGAAGCTTGTACTAAAAGAGAAATTGACAATTCTCTGTTCAGAACATAATGTAATATAGTAAATCAATCGATAGATAAAAACCTTGGCTTTCTATTGGTTATAGATAATATAGAATTAAATGTAAGACAGAACTATTAACAAATCCTGAAAGAAAGGATGTAACAGATGGGTGTGGCAAGAGGGGTTTGATTTTCTATTTGATACCTTTGTAACCAAACAAAATTGAAAGCTATAAAATTATGGTTTGTCTGAGTAATGACAGTTTTATAGGGAGTAATTAACTTATTGGAGGGGTAGGTGGATAAAATAGAGAAGAAGAGATGCCTAGAGAAAATGTGTCACGTGTGTCACACTACGGGAAGTTCAGGATTTTTTCAAATATTTCCTTATAAAATTAAGAACTTGAAACTTATATACTATTATAATATGGATTATTAGCTACGATTTTAGGCTATACTTATTGTTATATCATAAACAAAAAGTAGATTAATAAAATTTTGAATTTGAGTCACTAAAACCTCGTGACATGCACAGTAAAGGATGCTTGAGGGATAGGGTTAATAAATTAAGTGTTTGTGAAATGTACAATTGTCTTAATTTTTTGTAATTTATAATATTTGCTATAAACCTACCAATATTTAGCCACAACATAAAATTAACATTTAATGGGATTTTGTTTTTGTTCGTGTGTTGTACTTTTTCTATTTCCTGATTTAAGTTATTTCATTGCATTGTACATTAATGATAATAGCTAGTTAGTGATATGGTAGAGAAAATGAAAAATAAATATAAACATTTAACTTAAAAAACTTTTAATATTCATTTAGGAGGTTCTAGAGGTTATGCAAATAAAACTATAAGATGAAGAAAAGTATTTTTATACTTGAAATTATAATCATCTTTCACTCGAAGTATTTTAACAGTTTGAGTGCAAATAACTACTATAAATAAATAACATTTTTATTAGAAAGACAATTTAATAATGTCATTCTTTGTGTACAAAATACATATAAACTTTAATAAAATCTTGCAAGGTTTTGTGGCCCCCTAGTGGCACAGCGGTATGTCTGCGGACTTACAACACTAGAATCCGGGTTTTGATACCCGTGGTGGGCAGAGCACAGATAGCCCTTTGTGTAGCTTTGTGCTTAATTACAAACAAACAATCAAACATCAATACAAGGTTTTGTGAGGAATGCTCAGAGTTACCGTATGTTTTTGCATAAATGTTCTTCCCCAGTTGAAGTGATGCAAACTGCATCATCTTATGCTGAAAGGGTTAAATGTGATATTTCAAACTGTTAAAATTTTATAATTGCATGTACATATATTCTTTGTGAAAGTATAAACAGATGATGCCAACTCTTGTACTTTAAATTTTCAATAAATATGAACTTTTATGAAACAACTATGACATCAAGTTTGGTGCATCCGACATTCAGAGCAAAATTGTACTATTATAGAAAATAAACTTGAAATTCTCTCATGCTTAAAAAAAAACTTCAGAGTTGAAAATAATTAAATAAAGTTTAATTTTTATGCATAAGAATAAAAATTAAATCACAACTTTTGATTATGGGTTGGTGTTTTATCAATTTTAGCTAGCCAATTTTCCCAACTTCAGTTGTCAGGTTGGGTTATAATTTCAATCATCTCAGCTTTGAGAAGTCATAGGCTAGCAGTCTAAATACATAAAAAAAAGCTTTCTTTTTTGTTGTTGTTTTTCAACTGTATAATCCAATATTAGTTCCAGTTCAGCAGTAGTTCTTGTAGGGGATTTGAACAAAGTGATAATAGCTTAACATGGTGATATGTTACTAGAAAAGAAAAAGATGTTTGTAAACAACTTCTACCACAAATACAGTCCTGATTTTTTTAAACTTTGATTTATAATTTTATTCGTTTGAATTATGATTTTACAGTTTGATAGGAAATAAAATATTTTTCTTGGAACAAGATGAAGTAGGTTTAGTGAAATCTATTTGCACTTGACCTTATCAATTTTCATTTTGCTAGCAAGTTTACTGTGTTAGGCCATGTTTAAAGTAGGCCTAATTTTAATAAATAACTTTTTGAAGGATAATGAAAATCACTGAAAATAAATATATATAAAAGGGAATATAAAATAGACTTAAAACTTATTTCATATATTAAATGAAACTGATTAAAAAATATAGTTGGCTTGCCTATAGTTTTGGTATGGTAAAAAAACATTGTTTTTACTGTATTCTGATAATTTTAAACAAAGTATCTGTGAGTAGCATTTTTTAAAAACAAAGATAAAATTGACAGTTCAACAAAATAAAAACTTTATATGAAAGTTTACAGGAATGTAGTAAGGCAAAAATTAGTAATTGAAATGTACAACAAAGATATGCATTTTTGTTTCTCAAAAGAACATCACAATGAAATCTTTTCACACTTTCAAAGCTGCAAATTCATAGAAATATCATGTATAAAATATTTTATTTGCAAAGCCATGTACATAATCTGTAAAAAGTTCATTCAAACTATTTTATCCATGTACCAAAAGTAAAAATAATAATTACTGCTTTCTGTAAGTACTAGCATTGTTTTCAAACAATTACAAAATTTTGCTTTGTATTTAATAAAACAAAGTTATATGAATCACCAGAATTTTTAGTACTGTGTTTGGTTTTCATGATCTTTATATTTTTGTGATGACTGAAACTAGTTGTATTTTCATATTTCAGGTTTTGGAACAGAAGAGCTCTCTCCTAGCTGATGTAATAGAAGCAGCAGGTATCCTGTCAAACAATAGCAGTTCAACTACTTTAATGTCTGTTGCTTCTTCATCAAATGTACCATGTAGGAGTAGCAGTCAACTAACTACTACATCAGCTGCTGTTACTGTGGCCACTTACTCTGACAGTATCGCTCATGCTTCTTCTGCTTCCATTGTTGTTTCTGTGGCAAAGTTACCTGATAGTGCCAGCAGGTCTTCTGTCACTGTTCCATTAGGAATACTGCCTGATAGTGGCAGTCAGTCTTCATCTTTTACTGTTCCTATATCCATTGCTGCTACATTATCAGACTCCTGCTCTAAAGCATCATCATCTTTGCCATCTGTGTCCATAGCAACTCTACCAGACAGTGGAGGTCTTGTTTCAGTTGCATCAGTCCCTGTTTCCATAGCAACTTTACCTGATAGTGACTCTCAACCTTCTTCAGCTCCTACTTCTATTCCAACATATCCTGACAGTGGTGGTCAAACATCTGCTGCTGTACATATTCCCATAGAAGCATTTCCTGACAGTGTCAGTCAGACTTCGTCTGCTACATTTCCTGTTTCTCTGACAGTACTACCAGATAGTGGAGGCTTAGCTTCTTCAGCCTCAATACCTGTTTCTGTAGGAGTACTTCCTGACAGTGGCAGCCAAGATGCTTCAGTGCATGTACCCATGGCAACATTGCCTGACAGTGGAAGTCAAGAAAAATCAGCTTCTGCCAAGATGCCTAAAGTTATCCTACCTGATAGTGGTAGTGAAGCTGCTGTGACTGCCCAGACAGGTGTGTTTCCTGATGGAGAAAACCAGACATCTTCAATTTCTGTGGTTTTACCAGACAGCTGCAGTCAGAGATCCTCTTCTTCAGTGACCACATCTTCACTAGTTCTACCTGACAGTGCTCCAAACGATCCAATATCCAAACCCACTGTTGTCTTTCCTGACAGTGGTGGTGAGGCTTCTTCTTCTTCTTCATTTACTGTAAGCAGACCAATATCAGTCCAACCAGATAGTGGTAGTCAGACCTGTGCAACATCTGTAATGATGTCCGACAGAGTTTTTCCTGACAGTGTTAGTAATTCAACTCCAGCTGCTGTCACCTCATTGACTTCTATTCTGCCAGACAGCAGAAATCAGCTTGGAATCTCATTGCTTAACAGACCTGCAGTAACAAACATTCAAGCAATGTCTCGGAGACCAAAAACTTCAATATCTAGATCAGGAGTAATTCCTCCTGACAGTTCTAAGTCCACTTGTTCATTAGCTCCTAATCTTCCTGACAGTAACAATCAGGTTTCTTCAACACAAGCAACAAATTCTTCTAGTGTTCCAGTTATGCCCCCTGGTGTCAACACTGTTGCTTTATCTCCTGTAACCTTGGTTAGCAGCAGCACTTTGGTACCTGTAGCGAGCTCCTTTGTTAGTTTGACAGATTCCACCTCACCTTCATTTGTCACTTCTTCTGGTTCTGGTCAACAACAGAATAGTAAAGTGGCTCCTTCTCAAAGTACGTATTTACATCTGAACGACCCAGTTGAGTTCTTTGAAAATAGACACAAGATACCATCATTTTGAAATTATTTTTATACTCTTTGGTTTGACATTAATGTTTTTTTTGTAACCTTTTTATCCCTTAACATCTCTAGAAAATGAATTGTACAAGAAAATTATCTTTTAATAAAGAATGGGTCTCTCCAACAACTAAAGTTAAATTTGATTGAAATAAAAATCATAACTCATTTACACATATAACTACTATCAGATCACAAAAATTATAATTTGAATAATTTTATTCCCCACAATCCTTAAAGGCTTGCAGAGCAAACTGGAATGTAATATGTGTGATAAAGAAAAAAAAACAACAACCTAGGACTTCAGTAAGCATTTTACTTATGCTACTATTACACCATGAGACCTTGACAAAGTCACCAGAGTGAAATATTTGGTATAAAATAAAAAGGATTCTGGAGTTAAAGTTTTTTGTTTTTTTATTGATCAAGAATGTAATGCTATTAAATAAAGATGTATTCAGTTTATCAGAATAAGAATAATTGCCTTGAATGCTTTAATGTTGTGTTTAATATTTTATTTCAAAAAATGCACTTCAGTAATAAACTATTTCTTAGTATAAACATAGAAGTTAAAAAAAAAGTTGCAACTTATTATGATGTGATTTCTTTTTATATTCTCTTTTTAGGATATGTATTATTTCAAAAAGAAATCCTAATTTTTATAAAGAATGTTCACTTCCAGTATTTGTTAATAGGAGACTACTGTGTAACATATAACTAGTTTGTTCGTGTGTTTTTTTTTCATATCTCATCATTAAAAAATAAACATTGCATTCACCATAAATTTATGCAGGTAGTTTAGTGCTACAAGTGAATTTGTTATACTTAATAATTATCATATAGATTTTACCATGTTCAGGTGTCCTAAAGAATCTATTATTCTTTCTTTTAGTTGAAGAACAAGAGTGTAAAGCAGATGATGAGAAACAGTCCAATGTTGGACAGATTTCTCTTGAGGTTGTTCCATCATCCTCTCAATCTTCTCTTTCAAAAACGCTTGTGGTTTGTAAAGAAGAATCAACAGGAGATGCAAATATGGAAGATATCTCTGAACTTCAGGAAATAAGTATTCCCATTGATCAGTTTGAAGAAGGCCAGATACTTGAAATAGGTCAGTACAGGATGAGGGTTATATTTATGTATGAACTGTGGTTAATGAATGCTTTAAGTCTTGTTATTACTGTAGTCTCTCCTTATCTAATTATTACATGTACATTCTGAGAGAGAGAGAGAGTGTATGTCTTTATTTATTACTTCCAGCTTTCCACTCTGTAAATTGACCATGTGTATAAGGGGTTGTTAAAGTTGAATTGGTTGTATTTGACAAAGCTCATATTATAATTGGTAATTCTTTTTTTTTATTACAGTCAACAGTGTTATTTTAATTGAAAATTAATATTTTTACTATCAAACTGAGGCACAAAAACGTTATAAAGTATGAATTATAAATAGTTTTAATTCATGCTTTATAATGGTTCTTTTTGTTCCAAGTTTGATAATTTTGAACATGAACAAGCCTGCATTTTTACTTATATCTTAACTGTGTATTGGACAATCTTGTTATTAATTTATATTAGTTACTTTTTAACTTCATAAACACTAGTGTTTTTTGTTGTTTTGTCTCTGTTACTGTGTTACAGAAATATAGTTAAACAGTAACATGCATTTTGCCTTTTATATCAGACGTTAAACTACTCTGAAATTACATTATCATTGCTAATTAGACATACTTAGGGAGAAATATATAAAGTTTGTTATGTTTTATCACATTTTTCAAGGAAAGATGATGAATAATAGAGCATGAAGTAAACCACTAGTTTTTGTTTTTAATAAGCTCTGTTTTTCTTTAGTGTTCATTTTTTTATTAGTATTGGCTAAAATGTTTAACATATATATGTTAATTTTTTTTATTATACTAATTTTTTTACTATGAGAATTATTTGCATTGTTAGTTTGATATATAAATTTAAGAATAACCTAAATCACTCACTTAAGCAGGCCAAACCTTGTAAAATAATATTGAGATTATGGCCATAATTATCATTAACAGAGAAGGTAACCAACTAATAAGTGCATTGTAATAATTGTAATTCTTTGGTTTATAACATTTCATACTTTGTTAGAGTTGTATATTGAATTAGATATATTAATTACTGGGTTAATTTTTAGTTTTGATCTATGTAGATAGCTTGCTTTGATCAGAAGTTAATGTTAGTTATTCAAATGCACTGTTAAAGTTCTTGACTGCTGTAAAAGAGCATGCAAATATAAATGGTTGAGCACTACATATCTGATTAAAATTGCTTATATTTTGTGTTTGTGTTTCTATATGTTGCAGAGGGACCAGAAGCAGAACTTCTGAGTCAAGGACACCTTAGCAAACAACTTCTGGAATTGTTGCAACAAGCTGGAATCCAAATACAAGAGGTATTCAGTTGCATAAGGACTATTTAATATAATCTTCTAAAAAATAACCTTAAATTTTGGAATCCTCTGTAATTTTATTGAATCTAATAATACGTTGTTTTTTAAGGTTGTAAGACCAAACAGAACTTTTTTCATATGTAATTTGACAATCTTCTTCCAATGACTAGTAGCATTTTCCATTATCTCTACATGTCATTGACATCTATTTCCTTGGTATTATTAAAACTATTTCTAATTGTATATTCTTCTTTTTTATCTTGTAAGATTAGTAATAATTTTAAAATCAATTTTCTTCTCACAAAGACATCTTGTATATATCTGTAAAACTTAGATTTAATATAAAAAAACATGAATTCACAAGTGATTGAAACAGTAATAAAGTATTAACATACTTTGTGTTAACTTTTCTATTAATAGACAAGTACAATTTACTTGTTTGTTTTTTGACAACAGATGGTATAATATTTTTACATTAAAACATTTGGTAGTTGTGAATTAACCCTTTCGAGACGGGTCACAGGAGAAAGGCCATGTCATCTCATTTGTTGACTCATATTCAAAATTTTATTGAACTACTATTTCATGAATTTAAGTTTGGTATCAAACTGTAGATTATAATTCAAATTTTAGAACTATATATTACTCAATTTGTTAATTTAAAAATAAATATAAACTCAGATAAACATCGATTTTTGTGTGTCATGTGGTATGTAGAATGCAGCACTGGTTCAGATTAGATGTTTTTGAAGTCAAAATACTAAGTCTATAGTTTCATACAAATTAGAAACTCAAATTATAGATATAGACAATCGAGAATATAAAATAAGAAGGTCTTGTCTTTTCTATTTGCTCACGTGATAAATCAAATACAGTGGCATCCTGCTCACCTCTTTCCATTTTTGGAAATGCTTCCTTA